CTCAGTTTGTGTCATGTATTTTTAATAGACTGCTATGAGAAACAAAAGTATTTCAGGTCTCTCAGTTTGTGTCATGTATTTTTAATAGACTGCTATGAGAAACAGAAGTATTTCAGGTCTCTCAGTTTGTGTCATGTATTTTTAATAGACTGCTATGAGAAACAGAAGTTTTCAGGTCTCTCAGTTTGTGTCATGTATCTTTGATAGACTGCTATGAGAAACAGAAGTATTTCAGGTCTCTCAGTTTGTGTCATGTATTTTTGATAGACTGCTATGAGAAATAGAAGTTTTTCAGGTCTCTCAGTTTATATCGCTTATTTTTGAATTTTCCCCATATGGGGGTGAATTGAATTCTCGCGAATTTTTATTTTCTTAATTAGAAAGTAACGTCAGACACACAGATAATATTATAAGTTTCTTACATTTCGGATATTTGACAATAAAAGTTTTAGTTGTTGTTATAAACTTATGAAAATATTAATTTCAATCGAAATATGAATATATTAGTATTTTACCATTTGTTATACTTTGAATTGACTTTTTGGTTTGTAATGAATATCTCTGAAAACATAATCTGCCATAGAGTGAATGAAAATGAAAAGTCCCAGATTATGTCTTAGAAATTAAAATGGGTTGTTGTGTTACTAAAAAAATGTTACTTGTTTATGTTAATGTTCAATTGTTAAATAATAAACTATTAGAAAAAGAATTCAGTTGAGCTGTGTAGTTCCAAGAGAGAGAGAGAGAAACAAAAGGATTTAAATCACAATTTTAGGACTGTGAAAAAAATTATACAGATGTCCCGAATCTAAAATATGTTAAGATTGACAACTTTTATATGCATTGTTGTATATGTTTTGCTAAATTGCACTCTCGAATCCCCTTTACTAATAAGGATTGTTAACGCTAAAACTACATTTCAATTACATGGGGGGTATTATTGTTAAAAGTACATTCTAATCATATGCGGTGTAAATGTTAAACAACACTCTAATTACACCTTATATTCTTATAGTGATAGAACACTTACCGTTGTATGGTAAATCTTGACAAACATTCTAATTACACCTTATATTCTTATAATGATAGAACACTTACCGTTGTATGGTAAATCTTGACAAACATTCTAATTACACCTTATATTCTTACAGTGATAGAACACTTACCGTTGTGTGGTAAATTTTGACAAACATTCTAATTACACCTTATATTCTTATAATGATAGAACACTTACCGTTGTATGGTAAATCTTGACAAACATTCTAATTACACTTTATATTCTTATAATGATAGAACACTTACCGTTGTATGGTAAATCTTGACAAACATTCTAATTACACCTTATATTCTTATAATGATAGAACACTTACCGTTGTATGGTAAATCTTGACAAACATTCTAATTACACCTTATATTCTTATAATGATAGAACACTTACCGTTGTATGGTAAATCTTGACAAAATACCATATTCCTTAACTTTAATATTCAAGATCATAATTGTTAAACGAAATATAAGGAAACCACGAACACATCAGACGTCTTTAAATGGTAAAGAATGGACTGTTTTAACTGAAAACGTTAAAGCCTGGATTTATACTGAATCATATCTGGTTCCTTGCAGCTGTTTTCTGGAATCTTTCTGAAATATTTTTGAACTTGATTAGCATCTAACTACTCTGAAGTTCGTATAAAGACAACACAATTGTGTAGGTGAATAACTGTTATCAATTAATTTACTCTGGAAAAAAGTTACTCCATTTCCGCCAAATTTTAATATATTTGTTTTGTTTAAAAGATAATATCAAAGATCCTGAGAGCACTTGACTAGGAACACTAATGAATGTTGTGAATATATAATTACAGAATGTTGCATAACTTATGAAATGCAAAAAATTTGAAAGTTCTGTCTAAAGTGAGCAAACTCTGTAACCAACTTATAATCAGAGATTTCATGTGCACTTGTTTAATAAACAATTATGTTTTGAAAGAACTGTAGAATCAAGAGTAACCATTTCGTACAATGTTAAGAACAAATCTTATTTCAGAGGCATATTAAAATAAGAGTTGTTAACACATCACCTTTTTTGTATTATCATTTATGGTAGCAATAGTGACAAAAATAGCTGAAGTAAAATAATTTGTTTCATTAAAATGATAACATGTCTATAGCATCTGGTGAAATAGATTGGTTTCTTATTTTGTCATCAGTTAAACTATTAAATTCTTCAGATGATTATGAATCTTTGAAATGTCATTTTCTTAAATGAATAATAATATTATGTTAACGAACGCTAGATTTAGGACTTTCTAAACTAATAGATAAAAAAAATAATGCAAACGCATTACTTTAGAAATTAAAGTGATGGAATATTATAAATGTGCCTTGTTCTTGTGACTTTGTAAATGGTGCTTGTAGTATGCTTGTTTGCCAATAAATGATTTTACAGTCTATGCCAATAAGTCTTGGATATTCTGTTTTTCATAATGAACAGAACTACTTATAATTATAAGTGGATTATGGAGTAAATAATGAACTTAAATTGTTAAAATCTTACTCACACAAGCTATTATTGACAATTATGCATGTTTTTTTTATTTATTACAAATATGCCCCCCCCCCCAGTGGCACAGCGGTATGTCTGCGGACTTACAATGCTAGAATCCGGGTTTCGATACCCGTGGTGGGCAGAGCATAGATAGCCCATTGTGTAGCTTTGTGCTTAATTACAAACAAACAAACTATTATAAATATTGGATATTTCACATCAGAATAAATAATCGTCCACCAGTGTATTAATTTGTAAAACAAATCTAGCCACGGTAAGGGAAAAGAGGAAATTGAGACACTTGATTGGACAAACAATGACATAAAACAAATAAATCGTAAATAATTACAATTTTAAAAACGTGTCACGAAAATATTTATTGATTTTCTAACGTAAAAAAATAAATAAACAAAAATTCACAAATTCCTAATCACAGGTGTCAGCACTGTAGAGACACAGTTTATAAACTTGACAGTTCCACAGTAATGTACTTTTAAAATTATTTATAATTAACTGAAATAAGTAGGGATAGACAGGAAATCACTTCAAAGCTGTTGAGCAAAATGAGACAACCGGTCAACAGCAACCGCCGCCAACACTGTAAATTCTGAGTGAATGGTGGGTTTAATTGTTACAGTTATAACGCCCTCTTAGCTGAAAGATCCATAGATAGCTAACCATTAGCCTCCTCATTGCCTTAACCTTGAATTAACCTTATTTGTTTGACTTGAAATCCTTAATTAACACTTTGAATCGTCTTTCACATTTGGTCCTTACGCTGTTTAAGCCTTTCATACTCGTCTAGTTTCTTAATTTATTTTATTTAGTATCATGGAGGTGTTCATTACTTAGACATCGTCCTAATGAAGTGATAATTTTACCACAGTGCGAATACAGTGTTGGTTAGAATATTTAATACATGTACTTTTATTTATTGGTT